TTATCTTCCTCTATTGAAGTCAGTTGCCAAATAAATAGAAACACGAAAGGAAGCTGACCATATTTGGGATTATATATTTTTAACTGGCTAGTTTTGCTGATATGAATAAATGTATCAATTCATACTATCATTACAAATACAGCAATAGTCTTCCCCATTTGCACCAACTGGGCCTTCTTCGCTCACTCTCTACTTGTGATCTGCTTGTACATCTACAGTTAATAATTACATGCAAGTTTATTCCTGTAACTGGAGGTTTAAAGCAAAAAAGACACCTAAAGCTCCGTCCACCCTTTGCTCCATTGTCCAGGCTCTTACCGTAAGAAAGCTGTAGTATCAGAAGGTTTGCTAGCACTCTGATCAGCCCCATAGCTTCAACTCTGCGCAGCAAGTTGTTTGCCTGGAATTTAGAGATGGGGAACAATTTTGGCAAGAATGCACAGTTCAAAATATTTCATTAATCACTTTGTTCCCTTCCAGTCCGAGGCAGAAGGACAGATGTGGAAAAAACACCAGTTTCTCACCTGTAAGATTCCAATCCCTTACTTAAACTTGAGATACCATATTAATCTAATTGGATAACCCAAGCGGAGATGTCTTGATTAAGCAGCACTTTATTTGATCAAATTAAGCAGCTGGGTGGCCAACAATCTGGAAGGCTGGCAGAGTCACATCCAGAAGTGCCACGTCTTAGAAAGTTGGTAGCATTGCTTTATACACTTTGTTATCCAATGAAAATCAGACAATAGAGCCATTGCATCATAAGAAAGACATAAGAAAGCCACTCCCTTATTCCCTCCATCCATGTACATGTATATCCCATCCATGTCCACGTTTCCCAAGCTTGCATGAAATTTCTCTGGTGCAAAAACTGATTATAAAAAGCAAGAAAGCAGCAGTTAGACTAAACAATTTCCCTTTGTTGGAGATGTGGAAGTCTAGATGCCACTTATTTTCATATTTGGTGGACGTGTAGGGAAATAAAAGCATTTTGGATCAAGGTTTGGTGGAATATTCAAAATATTTTTAAGAAAAAGATAAAGTTCACACCGCAGTTATTTTTATTAGATATTATGGAAGATTTGGATGCTAAAGAAATGAATCTGATGTTAAATCTGATAACAGCTGCAAGACTATTGGTAGCTCAAAACTGGAAGACGGATCGTTTGCCTACTGTTGAAAAATGGTCTCTTAAAGTGGCAAATTTAGCAGAAATGGCTAAGATTTCTGCTTATTTAAAGGATCAAACACAGGAAAGATATATTTCGGTTTGGAGAAGATGGATAGATTATATTCAGAATAAATATGGGACTGAAAAGTTCCATTAGGTGTTTGAGTAAATTTCACAGTATTGTTATTGTGAATATTTTATTATATTTTTATAGTTTTTATTATATTTTATTATATTGATATTATTATTATTTTGAGTAGTAATTTTGTTTAATAATTAAGTTGATTATTTGTTTATTATTGTGTTTAATTTTAAATTATCTAAATTTATTTTAAAAGGGAGTTAAAGTGTGTTATAGATTTGGTTACATAATTAGTTGGATAATGTTATTTAGATTATGATTAACATATTTGTAACCCTGTGAACAGCTCTGGGAAGTGGGGGGGG